CTGCAAACGCGCTTCTGGTCTGGGGGCCGCGTTAGATTCCCGGCCGTCCCGCCTCGCGCCGCGCCTGTTTACCTAACCTGCTAAACTGTTCATAGGAGCGCAAATCAAAGCTTGAGCACAACGCCATTAAATCAAATAAACTTGGTCTTCCGGAGCAAATGATCTAGTTTATTTGCTTCGTTTAAGATATTTTAGTACCGTATCACGAAATGCATTCTGCTGGTGGGGTTGGGGGACGGTCTGCTAGAGTGTGTTATATGAGCTGTGACGTCGTCTTTCAGACATAATAGGCCTACGTATCGTAATAATAACACTGATGTCTTTTGCGTCTTCCTGAAGCTTGAATGCTTTCGAATACTTACTATAGGCTACCACTATTTATCCTATATAACTTCCGCGTGATTATATTTTAGGTAACATTTTGATTAACATTTGATTGGCCAATTTGATTTTTATAGCTTTTAGCCATTCTGCACGTTTAATTGTAAAACGGGCGTGAATGCTTAATTTTCTTTAAAAAAATAAATAAATATACTTATATTAGCCGCTTTTCACATTACTTTCAGGGAGCACTTTCCTTTGAACTCCCGAATACACAATAGGCGCGCATTTACGTGCAAAATAATTGTAAAGTAACTTGTTATCGTACAAGCCTCAATCTGTTTATCAGATTAATCGGCCCCACGGAGATGGCAACCTGGCAAATTAGGCCTAATGTTGCATTGAAGAATAAACAGTCTCGTCTAGTACTATTTTTTGGATGTTGTGAATGGCAAAAGATTAAACCGTTCTCATTTTGAACGGAAAAAATAATTCACTGTACAGGCTTAAAGCTTCAATATTGACATTTTACCTTGCATTAGGCCTACATTATTTTTTTTACTGATAATTTTTATTGAAAGTATTTTTGGACAATAAATCAAACAAAAACAACGAACTGGGGCTATTAAAAATGTCGTGATTTAACCACAAATGTGAAGCTCCTCATTTATTACATAAGGGGGGAATTGTTGAACAAAAGTGGTCGTAAAATTAAATTAATTATGGTATTTTAGTTCATACATTCAGATTTTGAACATAAATTTAAGAAAAAACACACTTGACACGAAACAAACTGAAAAGATAACGCAGTTGTGGAGACTAGTTTTATTTTTAAATATTTATCTGCAAAGATTACTTAGTAATTATTTTTTATATATATTTTATATGGGCTACAATGTATAATTCTGTACTTATGAATAGCTTTATTTTTAGTTAAGAAATTTAACTTAGAATTTCAAAAATCGCCGTTTCGGGAAAAGGTGCAGTTCTTAATCGTACACATCCTTAAAATATCTACATGCCACATTTTGGCTATACACACATTAAATAAGACGGTACATACATTACAAGCTGCTTTTATTTCCTTTCCTATTATTTCATTTTTGCGTGCTAAGCAGTGAACCTGGGATGAGCTTGCGTGCCATTGGAGCTTCGCGTGCGTGGATCATGGTCACCGAGGTCTGGCTTCCCCAGGGAGTGGGGGTGGAGATTGTACTAAGAGATTAAAATGTGAAGGAGCGGGGGGGGAACTAGTAGAAATGGCTTCCAGATGACCCCGCTTTCATTTTAGTTGGCTCATCTGGAGCTGGCTGACGGACCAATTTGGGCACACTTAGTTACGCGCTCTCCACCTCGGGAGCCTTCCTCGCGTAACGGTATTCTGTTTCGTACTCTACGCGACGTTCACCGGCCATCCATCCATCCATCCATCCATCCATCCAGGTGCACGTAAATTACCCCTGAAGCACAGAGAACAGCACAAGCCATATGAAACCACTGTTTACCGTGGATGAATTCGCTTTATATTTATTAGTAAGCAATTGACCAAACGCTATCCTTTGTAGAAAAAAGCAATCTATACGATTAATTTGAATTGTTATATAAACGGCTTGGTAAAGGTGTAACCTTTTTAACGTTTTAAGTGCAAATTGCATGAAATTTAACATTTTTGTCTTTATTTACCAAACACACACAGACACACACACGTAGGCCTACATATATAACCCTAATATATGTTTATATGTGTGAGTGTGTGTATAGCCTACATATAAATTTTAAGCTTATCGTAGGTCTATAAAACGTAGTTTTACAAAAAGGGAGCATAAGCGATTTAAAATTCTGCCTTTTGTGACTGATATTTGAAATGTAGTTATTGCGTGATTATAAATTAAATAGTTTGGTGGTGGTTTCATTTTTTAGTTAAAAGTGCACTTTTTAAGTGGATTTATTCTGTGTAGATAAGGCAGAGCAAGGAATATCTGTAAAATATGACGAGTTTTAATTTAATACAGTTAAAAATGTGTGCATGAGGTGTATTTACTGACAGTTCCCACAGGGATGATATATATATTCCTGGCAAATTAAGATAGATGTCCGTTTGTTCAGTGACGAAAATCGCGAGCAAAAGTTAAGGGCATGACTAGGTTAATAACGGGTTATTTTTGGTTTCATGCCATTGCGATTTCCTCCGGTCAGTTGCCAACTTTCATTCAACCTGCAATGTATCGCTTATAAATTAGCGTTAGGTCTAACTCTGCAAACAGCAGAATTCGGGGATGACTGTGTTGAGTATCTATTACTAACACACTACGTTCCCTACGGACTTGCTGCAGCCCACGATACAGCAGTAAAGCTTTTTTTCCACCGTCTAAAATATAATGAACACACACCAGCATAAATCCAAGAACGCATCAGAAAATCTAATGCACCATCCATTCACGCTATTCTACTATCTATTCTACTATAGTAGCATCGAATCACGAAACGAAAGGCTTTGGGTTTAAGAATAATTTATACGGTCTTGTTTGCCAGCGTTTGACCGTGTCCCTTCAGTACTGCCCGTTCAGTCTATCGGTCCTTGCAGGTGGGAGACTGCAGAAGACCACCTTTGACAGTACGAACTCACGAAGCCATTAATTGCTGAAAATGTCCGACTGGGCGGATAATGTTCCGTGAATCTCTCCAGCTTGCACCTTCGTGCGATCGGTGTCATTCGGTAACCTAAAAGTGAAACCGGGTTAAAAATCGGTCGGACAGTACTTTCCATTTGCCACTGCCGGGGAAGGCTTATTTCTAGACGTTGCCGAGAGTTTATTTAATTGTTTTTAACACAATAATGCTTAAAGGAAACCCTTGTATTCACAGTGGCGGTGCTTGCTTTCTTTTTTAGTGTGATAAACATTTGAATTATAACTGAATTCTTAGCATTAAGAAACAGTTTTCCGGGTAGGTCACTTAACAGAATCCTTTTTCTGGAAAAAAAAATCAAATGTTTCCTCTGTTTGTTTTTCACGGGGAAAACGTTCATTGATGTCTGGTGTTTTGTCTCGCCTGATGTTTTAAGCCTGCTCACAATCTGCTTGACTCGTCTGTCTTATGTGCGTGATGAGGGGTGGGAGGCGGGTAGTCGCGTGTGTGCCGGGGTTTCGCTTTGATAGTGTCTCTTAGGTCGTGCTTTTAAGTCATTACATGAAACACCAGTGCTCACTTTGAGAAATATCGTGCTCATCAGCTGCTGTCTTTAATCTCCCTTCTACTTCACGCCAAACAGTGGCCATCTGGGCATATATTTCGGCATTAGTGAAACAAGGAGTGATGCAGACCACTTGTATCCTCGCTCTCTACTTTCAGGATGGGACGTTTTTTTCTGCCAGTTTCCTGTAAGATGTCAGGCTGGCAGACATATGACTGATTGCTGGTTCCATGCACTCCATCACTACCTCAAAGGAAGTCCTGCTTATAGACACCAAATCCCCCTATATTCCTCTGTGTTGAGTCGTGTTTGAAATAAATTCCAGCCATTAACTGATTCCTTTTCATCCCCAGACACCCTGTCTCATATCCAGTGGAAATTCTGCTTTGAATAAACCAGGCCTTCTTTCTTTTGACCTGACTTCACACCATGGAATGGCCCTTAGTTACCGGTCTGTACTGGAAGTCGTGAAAAGCTCTCCCAGATATTTCCGATGATGTCCTGCCAAACAGGGCATCTCTCTTTAACACTGGAACAGAGGGACACCCCAACACCTGTCCTCATCAGTGACTGGTGTTGTAGAAAGAGGCAGCCACCTAGACAATACTGTGACAATATTCAAAACCGCCACATACCAAGATCCTGATTCCAACAAAAGAAAATGACCCTTCATTTCTTGTTGTGTGGTTTTGGTGTTTGGGCATCCTATGCCACAAACACGAAGAGTGATATTTTTCGCATGAACTGTTGCTGGAATCTTCTTTTCTGGCATGTTGTGAGAGCATGTTCTCCCCTGTTCGTGCTCTCTGACATCCTTTGCAAGATGTTTCTGCTGGTCATGTTGGAAGGCACGGCTTTCTGTGTCTGAGGCATGCCTGTAACTGGATTCTCTCAGATTGCACTTGCCTCTGGTCTGGCAGCAGCACTCAGCGCTGTGTTCGGAGATGAGATTTGATAGATCATTTCCCTTAATTTCCTAATTTGCTTCTTCCTTGATCAGCAGCATCAGACCTGCTCTCTGTTTCCCATCTTTATTGTGATGGACGAGGCATCGCTGCACTGACGCAGTGATTCATTTGCTGAATCTCTTTCCCTTGTAGGTTTTTCAGCGTGGGCTTAGAGTCTGTCTCATCTAAGCAAGTGGAGAGGGTCATAAATTATAAAGGTATGTATGCCTCTTTCACCCCTGCCTCGCTGCCTCTGCCGTTGCAGCAGGTCGACCAGGTTAGCTGATAAATCACATCTGAATCATTTTAGAAACAATGACAGATTTTTTTTTTTTTTCAGAAGCGAATGCATGCGGAAATCTGGGTTGGGAAGGGGATCCAATCGCGTGAGAAATGGCATGTGAGTGGCCGGTTCGTAGAAGACATCTTGCCTTGAAACATGTGAGACGTGGTCTGAGCCTGGGGCTGTCAAAGAATTGTGAAACCCACTGCCATGTCACACAACAACGGGAGGGGGGGGGGTTGATAATGGAGGACTGAACATGGAGAGGCTCAGTGACAGAGTGAGAAGCGTGGAGAAAGAGGAGCTTTTGCACTTTAGTATTAGCTGAGGTAGTAACCTGGTGTTGAATCTTCGGGGGGGGAAGGGCGTGACCCCAGCTAAACTGGGAGGGCCAGATGGCTGGGATTATTCATATTGATCATATGTTTTAGTGCTGGGAGGTTGAGCTTTGTTATTCAAATTAAATTTGAACTTTAAAAATATTTACATATTGGATGACAGAAATGATGTTCGACTTTCAGATTTTTGAAGATTTAAGGTAGGCAACCACTCCTCATTTTTGTGTTACGTAATCACCCTTGTTATGGGACCTGCCACTAGGGGCAGATTACCATAAATTAACTGAGCTAGCCGAAATGGCTGAAACTAGTCCCCCTCCAAGCACGTCCCTCGCCCCTGCTAGGTGAATAAATAGCTTGCTTTGGAAAATACCATCAAAATACCATATATTATGGTATGATGTATGGACTGTATGATGGTATGGGAAATGAAATCCAGTCACGCGTGCCATAATGACATTTCAGGTAAAGACAGACTGCGTATACGACGGTGGTCCAATAAGATTATAACGGAGCTGAAAAATTCCTATCATCTATGATGTCATAGTGCAGTGATTCACTCATGTGTTTGTGGTGATGCTGGTGTAAACAAACCTACTGTGCTGCCAGTTGTATAAAGGTATAGCACATGCAGTATTTTACAGCGCATGATACTTCATAATGATAATAAACAACTATGTTACTGGTTTATGTGCATGACTGTACTGCGCCAGCATAGTTAGATGTAGCCTAATCTGAAGGCAGCATTTGATGGCATGATGTCTGCGTTTTAAGCTATTTTATGCACGTGTCAGGGTCAGCGCCTGTCCAACCCTGCGCTTCGTGTCTCCTCCCCGTTTGGCCAGCAGGTGCTGCTGGCCATCCTATCCTCCACCCTGTCTCTTGTCCTTCAGTCCCAGTGTGCTATCCCTATTCACCGGCCTGCTGCATGGCTCAATGTGTTGTGTCTGTGGCTTAGGGACTGCAGTCCCCAGTCATGGGTTTGAGGCTGGCTAATGACCAGCTTCATCTCTTTCTTTGTATTTGAGTTTCTGTTCCCCAGTGTTTTGTTTCCTTTTGAGTTTCCCGTTTTAGGTTTGCACTCCTTGTGTTCTGTTCTAGTTTTATGTTGCACTTTGTTTTCTTGTTTATTTTCCTAGTGTAATATTTCCCTGTGTTTCTTTAGTTTCAGGTGTTTAGTTCCTTAGTTCTGTGTTCATTAGTGTTAGTCGCGTCACCTGTGTCTTCTTGCCCTGTGCAGCTGTTGATTGGTTGTTTTTGAGGATTCACACCTGCCCTTTGTTAGTCTTATTATCAGTGTATTTATGTGCCTGCCTTTGTTAATTTCCTAGTCAGTCATTGTGCCCATGTTACTGTGTATTGTCTCTTCTTGGTTTTTTTTTTTTTAGTTCCTGCTCCCTTTGTTGCCTAGTTTCCTGTGTGATTTATGGTTCCCTGTTGTTATTTTGCCATTTAGTTCTGACTCCTTGTGGTCCCTTTATTTTGGTGGTTTTCCTTTTGTTGTTTCTGTTAACTAATAAATTCCTTGTCTTGTGAGCCTCTAAGTGGATCGTCACCTTTTCCCCGCCATGCGGTAAGAGCAGGTAAGCCTGTCTCAGCTGTCTAATGGCAATTGTCTGAGTTTAAATTCATGCCACATTTTAGACAAATGTTGTTGCTGCTGGTGTTTCTGTCCTGTGGGTAACTAAATAAAAATGTTGTTATGTAATTGACTTGTCATTTTCCTCACTTAAGACAGTAGTGTTCTAACATTGCAGGTTTCACGTTTTGTGGTCCGTTGTACAGATCTGCCTTAGGCTACTGCGTGATGATGTGCTGGGTCAGTAGTGTAAATGTAACTAATATTTGAATTTCTTAGAATGATGCATGTGTTATATTATAAAAATTCTAATGCCCACAGAGTTTTCCAGTCCTAATGTATTTCATATGCCTTACTTTCTCTGCTGAATGTGTGAATTGCTGTGTTCTGCTTTGTTTGGGTCATGGAATCCCAGAGTGATGCCTGAAACTCTGAATATTCCATTGCCTGATCTCCCCCAAAACACCAGTCCCGTTTCCTTATTTATTTTCTTCTCCTCCTCCAGCCGCTGCACTTAGTGGTTGCGGGTGTCATGTTGGCCCCAGGCCAGCCCTGCCCGTCTTCGTCATAAACATGTCCTGATGAAGTCCTTTCATTATCTTCTGAGGGCAGAAGAGTAACATCTATCAGTATCCCAAAGATTATTAACTGAGCTTTGTGCTGAACAAAGATTAGGTGAGACTGTATTAAATAGCCAAAACCATGTTTGTCTTGGATTATATTGTTGTTAGTAATATAATGATAATTTGGACTTTCTATTCTCTGAACAAATGACCAATACTGGCCATTAACATTCACATTAAAGTAGTGCCTTTAAGTTCCCTGGGGCTATGCAATGACAGACGATGTGTTCAGCTTTTAGTGTGCTGATTGGTGACAGGTGAACATTCCCAGTAAATACAACTTTCTAGAAAGTTCTTTGACTACCTGTTAATCATAGGTACGATTGCTGCCCTGTCAGTTCCAGTCCATCAGGTGGACCCCCACAGAAAGCTCCGGCTGTGGTGAACATGAATGCACGAGTGCCCCCTCCTCCAGTTTACCGCTCCAGGGGTTGTGTCTGTGCCTCTTTTCAGGAAAGCTGACGTTGGCTAGACACAGTGAGCAGGTAACATGGCTTCCAGCGTCCCACAGCGTGCCGCCCTTGTGTCGGAAGGAGGTGCCGACAGCTCTGCTTCAGATCGTACTCCGGAGCCAGGAAAAGCAGCGTGATGTGGAAGGATGGAATGTGGGCCTGCTGCCTCGCTGGACGTCTGTGTGTCATTTGCACACAGACGTATCTCATGGCGCCCCCTCCAGGGTGATATTCACACAGATAGCCCCAGCCTCTTACTCTGCTTGGATTTAGGCGCCTTGGTGAGAAGAGTCTGGATACTCAGGGGAGTCAGATGGGCATGGATGGCAGATTCAGGGGGGGCAGATTATACATGAAATTGGGCAAGGGGACCCAAGTTGACGTTTTGTTAGGGGACCCAGAATTTCTAGGTACCCCCCCACCATCCTTGCCCTGCTGCAAAGGGCACATGCAGTGGAGGCAGATTCCCAGCAAACATGCAGACTGTGCTTCTCTGAGGGCCCAGTCCATATTTTCATGAATGGAAGACCCCCCTCATTGGTGCTGGTTTGTTGTGCCTCTGTTGCCGTTTCCTCCCCCCCTGCCACGCTTGCCTGTGTGTGGGATGTGCTGATGTGGGGGGCACAGTGTAACCCTCCCATGTTCTCTATACTGGGTCACACATCCACAGAGAGCTGCTGATCTTGGGTGGTTTTCTGGCCGGAAGCCCACTGGCTGTGCGTGTATCCTTCATCCTGTGGTCCCTGAAGCTTTAGGTGTAACACTGTAGTGATCCCCCCCCCCCACAACCCAGCCAATGAAATGTCTTTGAGCTCCCCATGCTAAAGGGAAGCAGAGGAGGGGTAATGACAGTTAATGTCCCGACCACTTAGTGGATATAAATAGTGTAGGAGCCTGCTTTACACATCACTGGCTTTCCCGCTCTGGCATCATGTTTCTCAGCGCAGAAAATAGCAGGCACAAAATGAAAAGGAATTAAAGGGTTTTCCTTTTTCCGACATGAGGGCAATCTCAGCTCGGAGCTCGGCCCGGCTCTCCAGGGGTGCAGTAGGAACGTAAATCTGCCCTGAGTCGCAGGGCTGAGATGATCAGCAACAGGGTAATTGGTGGTGGGGGGGGGCGGGGTATGAAGACAGCTAGTCTCTGGTCTGCTGTGGATGTTACAGGTAAAAGCTCATGGGAGACAAGAAGCACCCCCACGTGACCCCCTTGGTATTACTGCATGAGCTATATGAGAAAAACAGGTGTTTCCATGGTGACGCCAAAGGCCCGGAACCGGTCCTTAGGTGCCGAGACTTCCTGTGGGGGGGTTGCCTCAGTGTCACCAGTTGAACACCCCCGGACCTTTAATAAAGCGCGAGCGCGGCTCTGCAGGTATGCTGGAGTCCTGGCTGTCCGCTTGCCGATTTAATGCTCCTGGTCTGCAGCGTGGAGTTCATTGCCCCCCTCCTGTGGGGCCCTGGGGGGGGGGCTAATAAGTCACAGAGCAGAAACCAGAGAAAACATCATTAAGCGAGGGAACAATGGGCCCCTTTTACCCCCACAGAGCACAGGCCCCCGCTCAGGTGTCATTTTGGGAGCCGCCTCATCGCACACGTGAACGTAATTTGCATTTTGGACGTTCTGTACACAGGATTTTTTTCCCCTCTGCGTTAAATATGTGTGTGTAACTTAAACATTACGTGTAAAAGGTCACAGGACTCAGGGCAGCATGTGCAGAAGAATAAAAAAAATGCTCTGAGCGCAAAACTCTAATGAGACCAGCGGAGGGACATGGGATGTGCAGGAAGAGGAAGTCAGGAGGGACCAAGAGTTTGACCCACGATGGGGGCAGGAAAACACCCTCGTATGATTTTTTCCCCCTTCTTTCATCAGTACCAAGAAGAGATGATTATGACCTCGTTGTGTCACACCCACAAAGTCTGCAACCAGAAAAACACCCCCTGCCAGATACGGGGGGGCATGTACGTTTCCCAGTCTTATTCCCAGAGAGAAAGGGGCTGAAGTACCAGTCATATTTGGCCCCCGTGCTCCCTCTGGGGTCCCGCTTGCTAAATGCCTTCCATATGCTCACATCTGCTGCTGCAGACCACCTGCACTAAACCCCAGACCTCCCTAAACCACCCCTTCCATGCTTTGTTGGTTCCCTTCCTGTGCTGTTATTCTGTGCCTGTGCTGTTTCCTAGATTGCTGTGTGGAGCGTTGAGCATATGCACAAAGACATCACTGCTCTGTAACAGTAGCAGGTGACAATATCTGGATTAGTGACATAGAAGTCCCTGCCAGTTGGCCGGGGGAGTGTGTAGTGGCTTCTTTTATGTGGAGAGACAGGCCGGATATATCCCTGGGAGTTAAATAAGCTAACCCATGTCCACAAGGAGGATGCTGATGACCTTTGCACTGGCAGTACTGGCATGACAGAGGAATTACCCCAGAAGGTGGCCCGAGTGTGTGAGCGCCTCTGTGTGGCCTGGAGGGAACACTGCGCCTGCAGACTGCCTCAGAGAACAGCACCCATGTCAGGTCACTGGGAGTTTAAAGGCAAAGTCCACAGGCTCCTTGAATCTCTCTCAGCACCCCGGGTACAGCGTCCTCTCCACGCTGGTGGGGAGGCACCACCACACAAACACTCCGTCCCCATTTATATGTTCCATCTGTGCCTGGGGGTGGACTGGAAGGAGCGCAGCACAGGCACAAGGCAGACAGCACAGCAGGCCTGGCCAAACCAGAGTTTGCATTAAATCACCAGCTCAGGACTGGTGGACTTGGCGGGGGACAAACAGACCCCAAACGGGGCATAGCATGGGCCCTGGAAGAGTTCCCTGCAGTGGGTGAAGCCCGGCGGAGATGTGTAGCTGTACATCTCCGCTGCACATTTGTCCCTCCCCACAAGCAAGCATTGTCTGGGAGGCCTGGCTGAGTGAAAACTGACCCACATATTGGGGGGAGGGGGTTTCAGGCTTGGTCCCACATCCACAGGCCACATGGCAGTCAGTCAGGGACACACTTTGCCCAAAGATCCCTTTTCCTTTGAATTTCATTTTTAGTGCTTTTCTTTGTTTCTAAGGCAGCTGGTCATCAGATGTAGTCAGGCAGCATTTCCAGCTACATATACCCCCCCCCACCACATACAAACAACCCAACCATTCAATTCACATACATACAGGAACTGCCATTTAATTTCTTTATTAATGGACCCCCCTTTAGTATATTACAATTAAAACATGACATGCGGGGGCAAGAATAACTCAGTGATATAGGACACAGACAGATAAAGCAAAGAGTACAGCAGCCACCCAGACAGAAGTAGATGAAACGGAAATAGGGGGCTGGCTGCAGAGCACAGCGGAAATCAAAGAGCTCTCAGCCGAGGGCTTGGAGAGCTGCACTCAGTACAACATAAAAACCCACAGACACACGCGGTTCTTTGGGCCAGCCTGGTGCACGGGGGGGGGGGCGGGATGTTCCCGTCAGTTTACGACACCGAGCCAGACCCGAGCCAACCTCCCTTCAAATGAGGGCGACCGCAGATTTATTTCGCGGGAACCCCTCCCTTCCCTGTGCAAATTACTACCTGCAGTCATCGTATATTACATTTCTATCAAAGTTCGTGGTTATTTTATGTTTCGCCATCCGAGACGTCAGGTCTCCTTGAGCGCGGTTGCCGTGACGCTTGTTAAGGCCGTGGGGACGGATGGCCCTCAGTCCTTGGCATCGCCCACGCCATCTGCGTTGATGGCGAACATGGCCTCAGCCTCTGGGAGACACGGAGAGTCATAGATCTTGCAGATCCTGGTCTCTCCTCTGCCCTTGCGCAGGTACAACCTGTTAGGAATGAGAGAAGAGACTATGGGTAAGTTTACCTGTGTTGCGAACGTCTCCATGTCCCCCAGGAGCAGACGGGGCTACACACCTGGTGGTGGAGGCGTGAGCCAGGATGTTGCCCCCAATGGGTTTCTTGGGGTCTGCCGAGAACATCGCTGCCCCGTCCACCTGGGCGACCACCTGGTTGGTTATCACCACGGCGACGCCAAACTGCGAGGAATCAGACACACGCACACACAGGAAACTTAAACACGGCTCTGCTGGACAGCAGCCTGGCCACGCCGAATGCCTAAGCTGGAAAGCAGGCGTGCGGAGGAGTACGTGAGAAGCAGGGATGAAAGCGGAGAGCAGGAGAGACGGGAGCCGAGGGCAGTAAATCAGCTGGGAGAGCCCGGAGATGTGCCGGCTGACATTCTCACGAAACCGACCGCTCACCTCCCCGGGACGGGGGCGGGGGGGCCCCGGACTGCTAATGCAATCGCTCAGCTAGGGGGTGGGAGCCGCTCTGACGGGCTGAGGCCTGCGCTTCCGGGGTCAACGGGCCACGGCTATTTCTGAGAAAGTGCATTTCGCCGAACACGGCTAATGAAACGGCTGGTGGTGATGATCCTGGGCCGCGGCCAGGCCTGGTCACACATGTGGCCCTAGAAGAACCTCGGAGCTCCGAGCCCCGCGACGTCCTGCAGGAGGAGGAGCAGCGAGGGGCCTTTTTGGGAGGCGACTCTGTCTTTCTGAGAAATGCAACTTGTTTAAAGCAGACATTTATATGCGTGGTATTAACAGGCTGCCTTATTTGTTGTTGCAGGTCCTGGGGCTCTTCGGAGAAGGGGCTTGCTTATTTGTCGATGACAGAGCCCTTACACTTCGAGCCTGTCTGCAGGAACACCACATGCGAGCAGCGGTTAGGCAGTGCTGCGCCTCAGCACGCCACATCCTGCTCCCGGAACGAGGCGTGCATCTGGTCTCCGGCCCCCTCTCAGAGGACCCCTAAATCCATCGCCCAGGCTGTTATGGTCCAACTGCTTTGTCACCTCGCCGGATAGGGAAAAGTTTGCTCTCGCGACAGCAGGTGCCGACGGCGGCTCACCTCGTCCGCCAGCCGCAGGAGCATGCGCAGGAACCTGCCCAGGTGGCCCTGCCTGGCTGAGAGCTCACCCCTGCCGGAATAATCGGTCCTGTAGAGGGCGGTAGCGCTGTCCACAATCAGCAGGGCATACCTGGAGGGGAAAAGAAAAGGAAAAGAGGCGGGAATGTGACATGGTCTGTGTGGCCAGAAATTGCATATTCACCAGGGATGCGGTGGTGACAGATCCCAGATGGGGTGGCCCCCAGCCGCCCTCCCCCACATGCCACTCACCTGGACTCAGCCATCATGGCAGAGGCCTGGTACAGCAACTGCGTCTGGTGGTCTGTGTTGAATGCCCGGGCGTAGGCGACGTTGTCGAGGACGTCGCTCCCCACCAGCCCATACCTAATAGGGAAAAAGGACAAAACCAACAACCGTGATCAGTTTTACACATTTAGCATTCTAGGCAGTGCCAGTGACCACGCGAGCCAATGCCGTCTGCAGGCTGCAAGCTGCCCTAAACCCCTATGATCTGAAGTTAGCGAAAAGCTAGGCAGGCAACTGGAACGCAGAAGTCACTGCTGATGAAATGCTCTGAAAAGCCTCGCGTCAGGAAAATCGTTGTTACACACGAGGCAACATGCGGACGCTGCAGTCAGAAAACCGCCATGCTGAGATCAAGCAGCGGCTGTCTGGTATGGAGAGACACGCTATTAAAAACAGAGTGTAAATTTTAAAGGGGTAGTGACACCCAGGCTAGAGGCAGGGGACCCGTGACTGTCGCTGAGGCCTCAGTGTGGGAGACTAAAGCGGGAATTAGCGGGTCAGCATTAATCCACAAGCTCAGAGAGGGGGCTGCTTTTGGGATGATTTTAAAAAGGAAAACAACTACAAAAACAAAAGAGAGACCACCAAAAGGCAGGGGAAGAGAGGAGATGGGCAGATAGTCTTAAGGATGAAAGAGCAGAGTGTCAGATTGCAGGCAGGGAGGTGGATGCCTGCGGTGAAAAGCCACATGCAGTGCGGTGCAGTGCCCGTTTTATTCTGCACGAATCGCACTGCATGACACTCAAACGCTACACACACACATGGCATTATTATTCTACGTGCTCCGCTTCTCGTAAGAGCAGGAAATATTTCGGGAGGCGAACATTAACCGGGAAAATAAATGAAAGTGGTGAAAAGGCCAGGACGGAATTCCTTCGTGGATCAGTGTGAGGCCTGCACGCTCTGAGCCAAAGCGCGGAGTTTCCACCGTTACTGGCTGAGTCCAGCTGGTCTGCAGCCAGCGAGTGGTGCTGGAGCCTTTGGATCACACCAGCATGCCGTGAGATGGGGGGCCTTCAGCGTGGGGGGGGGGAGGACTGTGAAATGGTAGGTCACGCTTACCGTCTAATCCGTTATGTGGCCCCCTACCCTACCCACCCCCACACAGTCCTTTTCTTTTTTTATCCTGACGACTGAGATGCTTAATGAGCACCGGACCCGCACGCACACACGGATGCACGCACACGCAGCACCATTTGGATCCTGTGCATGCATCTCCTCCAGCCTTTCCTGCAGCAGCCAGCATAGCGCATTTGCTGAAGGATTTTTGTAGCTTTATAGCCTTTTAACTAGAGCCCGACTGCGCTGTGCTGTACGTCTCTCTTGCACTGGACAGAGCGGTCTCTTATCAACGCTAACACAGAAACTAGCATTGCGACTGGTCCGACCTGCGGCCCATAAATCCACAGGTTTAATGAACACCCCTGTATTTGTCCAACCAACCGATCTGGGGGTCAGAGCAGTGAAACATACCCCCATTTAAAACATATGGGCGCCCCTCCCCCTCATTGCTGTCACGCAACCACTGCCCTGCCTGTTGCCCTGGGTCGGATTTTACTGCAGCCAGTGGCCCACATCGACCCCCCCAACGAATAACTTGGAAATAATTGACTTGAAGCAGAGTTGAAATGGGGGTAAGGCCTGAAGGACATAAAGGGGGAGAAAATTCCCGTCTGGGCGTCCCCCGTTGTAATTCCTTCTTTGTGTAGGAAGGGAAAATGTTCAAAGTGTCATCACTGATCAGCGACAGCGCTGTTGTATCCTCCTGCTTATCAGTCTTACCCATAAATAAATGTTCTGCACACATCAACACCCCACCCCTCCTGTGGAACAAATCAAGGGACCTTTTTTTCTTTTTGCTGTTAATTCTATTAGACTAATCAGATTTATCCCAGATGCATGTGCTTTCAGGAACAGGGAATCTGAACTCCACAGGTCACAGGAGCAATTTCTGTTTCACTGGGCCAAGGCTGACCCACCTGAGGAGTGGTGCCCCCCCCCATCTGCCACTCTGGTCTGCAATGCAAACATCACACAAGTGCCCTCAAGGTACCAGTCAGATGAAACCACTGACAATGACCAGAAGTGGAGTATTAAGAAGCGAGGTAGGTGATTGAAACCTGCCCCCCTCCCTCAGTGTAATGATTCAAGTCACATTCCCTGCGTTTTGGACTATTTAAAGGAAACGGGGGTTCATCAGTTGCAGACCCTGATCTGCACTTATAACAGCTAAACATCGATCCCTGGAGTCACAAAGCGCTTCTTGAAGGAGCTCTTCAAAAGGCAGGGGGGAAATTTGGGGCAGCCAGAAATGGAACACTGTTTACATGATGCTTGAGCAAGCAATGTCCCCAAGAGGCCAGCAGGGGGGGCGACCATAGACACGACATCCAAAGTGGGTGGGGGTGGGCTTTTCACAAACGAGGCATCAGCGATACTTCAGAGGTCAATGCCGGACTGCTTCCTGGCCAACATCCAGACCACTACTGTACAATTATGGTTTCATACAGCAGGTTGGAAGCAATTACTATTCGAATTATATCTCAAATTTAATTATTTCTCCTTACACCCTCCAGCCTCAGGGAAATGTATCTGCTCGGCGTGCTAAGCTTTATTCTGGCGGATTCCAGTAGCAATGGAATCAAGCTGAATGTAGGGAACACAGATCAAAGGTAGGCTCATATCACTGTTTCGAAATGGCTTTCCTGGGATGTAAGGGATATTGCTTTCAGCCAAAGATACACATTTGAAACCTGAGGTGCATGAGTGGCATTTTGGGGCTAACGGAGAGCGACAGGCATTAAGGAGGACAGACAGCTTACGGCTACATCAGTAATACAGTGATACGAGTTATCAGCTGGAATCCTGTCCCAGAGTATTACTCACCATGTGACAGCTAAGTGAGGAATAACGCCATGGTAGCCACTGGGCATTTGTACCATGTACAATATCATGTACATATCTAGTGACGCTCTAGGAAAACCACACCTACCTTTCTGCCACTGCGAGGAGTCTCTCCGGCCTGAAGGTGCCCTCAGTGTCGATGTACATGGCCTTCCCCTCCCCCCCGCCTTGGTCGACAGGCAGCTGGGGACAGACAGACAGCAGTGTTGAGCTTCAAAGCTAATGGTTTCTGGGTCAAATCCCAGAAGTGATTCAGCTCTAGCATCCTGGAGCAGGTACAATAATGCATCGCTTAACGACCTTCTGCATAACATCTAATCACAAATACGTCCAAAGTTCCAAAAGATTAGAGCTGAAAAATCCTGATCGGCTAACGGACGCAGCAGACGTAAGCGGCCGCAGTGCACCACATGTAGCTGGTGTAAATAAAGCGACCGCCCTGCCAGCTGTATAACGGTACACGACGTATCTGACTTATAATACCCATAATGCACCACGTGTAGCTGGTGTAAAGCGACCGCCCTGCCAGCTCTATAATGGTACAATACATGTCTAACTTACAACAACCATAATAGCTGATAACGATAATAAATGTTAAGTGATTATGTATTTTCTGTAATTTATCGTTAATGTGTACTCTCTCTCTTATATGAAGTATCTTGGCCGTTTAAGCATATACAGTGTATATGATCGTATACCACCCAAGTTGCCTGACATCTTATTGGACAGAATGTAACCCTTAATTATTCGTGATGCATACCTAACAAGCAAAGACGTTAAAGTGCAACTGCTAAAAACTGTCAAAGAAAGGAAAACGTTTCATTGTTTATTCATTATTATTATAATGCTTTGTGTAGCCAAGGCTACAGATGGCGTCTGAGAGCCGAGGCTGGCAGCAAGATTGGCATACCTGACAAGTCACCGCCAAAGTGTGGCAGAGCTGTGTCTTCCCCGTGCGAAACTCGCCGAACATCTCTGTGATGGAGCCCGTCTCGATCCCACCTGAGTAGAACACGCACCTTAGCAGAGGTGAGGCCTATCACAGGCAGCCGACACCAAAATAATACCATTCACCAATGTACCTTTACTACAAACTAATAGATGCTGTATTATTTCCTAATTCCACATGTTGGAAGTACAAGATTCATCCATTGCAATATATATCAAGTTTTATTTTGTATTACGCAATACCTCATAACATTGAGAACCTGATACGAACAATATATCCTGTGCAACATCTGGTTTACTGCTGAAATAGACTCCATAGTGACAGCCCATTTCATTGTTACACAACATATTTACAGTTTTGGCAGACTTTACATAATATTTTTCTAGTTAGGTGGTTACGTGAAGACAGATGACAAAAGCTTTGTTTGTGTTGCCCAGATTCCTGGGCAGCCCTAAACGTGGTTGTGGAAAGGGGGATTCTGGGATGGAAGTCACGATCAAGGAGTGACGAACCAGGCAGAGCGTCGAAGAGCTGACAGGAGAGCTGTGCGACGTGCAGACTCCCCTCTAAGCTTCCGGGGACCGAATCCCTATGCAACCTCTCTGAGATGACATCCTGACATGGCATGCCAGTGATTATCTCACCACAAATTATTTTTAAGCTGAAGAACCCCACCAAGGCATAAACATGGGTTTGTCCCTGGATCGTACCCAGACAACATCCTGTTTTTTTTCCCTCTTTCCTAGAGCTGAGTTTTATATATATAAAAATCCAGACTGCACGGAAGAACACAAATTACAAGATGTGTCATCACTCAGAGATCCACATCAATGCCTGCGGGAAAGGATGACTTGTGCCATTGTCCTGTCACACGCAAAAATCTCAATCCGACATCAGCAGATGGTTAACATGATGGCAAATGAGAAAGCGAGGCGTTTCACAGAAAACAGGTGCGAGTGACGGGCGGCTGTGGGGGCCACAGGAAGGGGAGCGACAGTCAGTCCCAGACAGGGGCCTCAGCCCTCATGACTGGACTCGCATAAATAAATTTAAAGCTGCTCAGCAGTTTACCAATACTTGCAGCAAACTATTACTGATTTACATTTTAAATTCATGCATTCATCCACCTTCTACCACAGCTGACCAGACGGGTTTGACTGTGAGACCTCCTGGCTTTCTGGGCGGCCATGTGAGCAGAGGGATCTGATTCCCATATTCACCTTGCAGCAGCTTGTCCAGCTCTTTGGAGCCTGTGGAGATCTGAATGATTTCAGCTCTGCGCTGGTGGAACTCCGTGGCCGTGGTGAAGCCCATGGGCACCAGCCTTGCTGCCTCTGCCTTGGGTCAGACCATTGGAGGGGTGGGGGTATGGTTAGAAAACAAAAGCATGGCAGGTTGGTAGAGATGCACCGAATAATCAGCCATTTTTCAGCATACTTGGCCTGGACTGGAGACCGGCCGGTCCGTTTCACGCATGCTCCACACGTCATACGCACAGCGCCGCAGGCAATAGCCTCACAGCCGCATGCATACTCACAGCCAATGCTGTTAGTGTGGAAGTTCTTCACTGTGAGTAAACGTGACACAAAGCTTGCAATTTGTAATACATGTGAAGCCAAAGGTCTCCGCATGGGGAACCACCACGAAAATGTGGTGAAACATCAGAGATAAACTTTAAAGTGATTTTTTAACCCTCTCAAAGCAGGCGTTGCTGATTTGCAACAGTTAAAAACTAACTACCTTATTACCCCAGATACATATTTTATGAGTTTTTTTTTACTCAAAAGTACCACTGCAGGTCTTGGTTGTCCTTTAGCAACAAAAACTCAATTTGAGCCTGAAAGGGTTAATATATATTAGGTAATCTTAAAAAGGAATAATCATTAAAACTGCAAAGCTAGTTAAGGTTATTTGCGAATTGGTGCATAACCAGTGTTGGTATTAATAATATTACCCTGCAGCTATTATTATTTGGAAGAGTATAGTACACTTCAGGTTTATTTGGAGGTTTGTAACCTATGAACTTTTTTTAAGACCAGTAAAAGAAGAGAATTTAAACATATTGGAAACATATTGAAATTTATTTAGTTATTTAAATTTGTTGTACCTGCTCTTGTTTGGTAAAGTAAAATACGTCAGATAAAGTTGGATTTACAGCAACTCATTTTCAGTTAAGTGCTATATGTACCTCTTTCCAGTCACTGAGCACTTTATCTTGAGACTAAAGTGAGACAAGATCCTGTAACAGTGCAGCTGGGGGAAATTGTAAAGTTTAGCAATTACTTTTGTAATCGATATAGTAGTGCATTGAATAAAAGTTGATTTTAGTTCTTAGAAAGAGAATCATTATTGGCAGGTCATACTTGCAAAAAAAAAAGAAAAAGGGAATTGGCCAAGAAAACTGCAATCGGTGCAACTCAACAGGTTGGCATGCAGGAGCAGAGGAGGCACGGCTCTGCATGCAGGAGCAGAGGAGGCACGGCTCTGCATGCAGGAGCAGAGGAGGCACGGCTCTGCATGCAGGNCATGCAGGAGCAGAGGAGGCACGGCTCTGCATGCAGGAGCAGAGGAGGCACGGCTCTGCATGCAGGAGCAGAGGAGGCACGGCTCTGCATGCAGGCACCGCTACCCCAGCCCATCCTGCTCACCAGGACTTTCTCTGCCTTGGCTTCACTGATTCCCTTGATGTTGAGCAGCTCCTTCTTGGGGGCGTACGCCACAGCCTCCACCGTGTGGAATCCGGCATCCTCCAGCTTCTTGATGTCACTGGCGCTGATTCCGCATTGCTGAGTGGGAGAAAGGGGAGAGGTTCATGTAAACTGGGTGGATGTGGGGACGGACTCTGACTGGGACCTAGTGACCAGAAGTCAGGGATGGTACCTCAAGTCGGCAAAGAGGCTGAGGCCCAAAATTCTCCTCCTCCTCAGCCTCCGTCTCAACTCTGGTCTCGCACCGCATTGCCATCCTGGACGAAAGGGCTCCGCAGGTCTGACCAATGACCTAAAGTGATGCTGTGTCTCAAAAGAGAGAGTCAACATTAATTTCAACTGAATACAGAGACATCACACCAGTGCATAAGGGAAGGGCCCTCTAGTGTACGAAAAAGTCACTGCTCTTGATGTAAAACCGTGTCCTTCTAAGATTTTCTGAAACAATGAGAATATTAGAGCTCCGAATCTAAGAACGGTTAGCGGTTTCCTTCCCAACAGGTCAATATCTTCTGATCAACTAAATTAATGACCGTAATCGTCTGACACCCTAATTCACCAAGGACTAAAGCACTACGTTTTTAGCCGAATAAATATTTAGATTTGAGGTTGAGGTAGACAAACCTCAACCTAAAGGCGTTTCAAATATCTAAATGGCATAACCTATTAATCAGTCTAATCGCCTTTACGATGCTGCATAACCACATCTAAGCAGTTTTCGTTAGCTAGCGCGCTACACGTAACAAAAACACCTTAACCGGCAACGCGCTTATCTGTCAGTTGTGTGTAATTCGAGAATACACATCCTAAAATCTTACTTAGTCTATTTTTCGTGGATGTGAAGAACTTCGCCGTTTAAAGATATTGTTGCGATACAAACCTCACTTCTCACTTACAGTCTCCGACACCGAACTTCCCGCCTGACGACGTATATAGAAACGTCGTGACGTCGGCAGCGTCTTAAAGGTGCAGTGGCATAATTTTCGGCTCTCAAGGCCTGCGCCGTTCTGTTGCTCGCCATCATCGGAGCGGCGATAATCCGAGTGTTTTGGTCCAGGTATCTTAAAGTTGCATCACCACTTATGTATTTCTCAGGGCCAATGTATTTTGTGGATTTCGTTATTTTTTAACTTTACAACACACAATTTAAAAATTAATTATTAGTCCTTTAATAGCGCACTTGAATAATCTTCTAACAGCTCGAAATACTTTTTGTTCCGCTTAAAATCTAAATATCCACAACAGATAGAGCATACTCCACTGGAGATTAATCAAAATCGAGTCATAAACTGCAGGGTACTTTGCAACAAACTCACATTACGCTATAACACTTCAAACTCATATGTAATTTCTTTTTAAATGCGTTTCACATTAAATACACGGCCTGGAATTTTTTGAAAATCATTGTGATGGAATACCTTTTAAATGAATAGTAATACATGGGATGCTCTTGTTGCACGAAGTGTCAATTTATTAGACAATAACAATCTAAGTGGCATGATTTAAACAGTAAAAAACAAATTCTCGTAAAAAGACCTTTTACACATGAATAAGAATTTACATTAAACAGAAATGCAAATGATGCAACTATCGAAACATTTTTTAATTAATGCTTTATCATACTGCCAGGTTCATTGGCTCATGAGTTTCACGATGCATTCATCACCAGTGGTCCTACGCTGCCCTCTAGCGTCTGAACGAGCCCCTGCTCCTACTGTAAAACCTTGTAGTTTTAAACCCAGATTTTCTCTGCATTCAAAAGTGGTGACTTGTCTATAAAGAGAAATAATGACAAAAGTAACAAATATGAAAACACTTGTTTTAATTATAAGCAGTAGTAATATAGCAATGCCATAGAAAAAAAAACAAACAAAAAAAATGTATATTTAAATATAGTACACAATTATGCACCTCCTTGGGAGAAGGGCGGTTAACGTTCACACACGCTTCAGTGCAGGATTACGTCATGGATCCTCTTAACAATCCTCGTCAGGTAATTTCTGGCTGGCGTGACTGTGGACACAATTTCTTCCAGCTGCTCAAGCCTTGAGGAAGGGAATGACGTAGCGTTAGACTGAGTACCTGGTTAACGATATGTCAGGATAGAACGGCTCAAAGCGAGGGCAAGGATCCAGCTTTCACACCATGAGATTTCTTAGTTCTTACCTCGTATTTCCAATGTAATTTTTGAAGGTAAGCACTTCCAGATGAGAAGCTGGGTAAGCAGGATCAATAGCCAGCGTGACTTCAAACTTTGCAAATGCCTTAAGACTTGAGAATAGAATGCTGATCCTGAAATAAATAAAATAAAATAAAATATTTTAATAAATGTAATATTAATATTTTTATTTTAATAAAAATTTAAAAGTAGCAACTCATAAGTGTGGGATTAGTCTCTGAAGATTATGAATCTAAATTTAAAAAAACTATATATATACACATACTTTCCAAGACAATAAGCACAATATCCCAAATTTAAAGGGCAGGACACAACATTAATGCTGATATGCTGACCCCAGAACACACTCACTGTGTCTCCTGGCATCCAATCTGCAAGACATCAAATTTCAGGGAGCCCCACTTCCACAACTGGTGGATCTCCTCCCCCAGCACACGGCAGCGGCTCACCACCAATGCGACATTATGTAGGAGCTAAGGAGTTGAGTCAGAGGAGAAGGTATGAATATTTATCAGGAATCTCAACTGTTTTGCATTAAAAATACTCCCACATTGACCAGGCTACTACTTGCCAGTGGGATGTTAGGCCTGGTGGGGTACTTCTCCATCCAGTTGCTTTCACTTTTAATGAACTGGCTGATCAGTTTGTGAACGAGGCGGGCGTAACACATCGAGTTCTCTTCTGCAAGACATACAAGTTCAAATGAATTCCAATCTTTAGACATTGCATAATCACATCCGTAGGTTAGACACCCATTACATTGCTCAGCTCCACTCACCATCCAGCTGTAAATGAAATCTGATGTCATTAACCTTCTGGTCAGTCTGCCCTGTTGTATCTGTGTGGGAGAGGAAATTACTTAATTTTCAGATGCAAGAGAAACCCAGGTTCATGCTGCATATTTTATTTAAACTCTAAAGCAGTGTTTCCCAGCCAGGCCTTCAGGGAGCCCAAGACAGTCCACGTTTCTGCACCTTCTTAGCTCTCTGCCAGAGATTTTGAAAATCAATGAGACCTGGGTTGGGAAACACTGCTCCAAAGTCTAGTCTGATTTTACTGTGTAACACAGGCCAACAATGAGAACAGCATCAGTATAATATTGCTGCTCCAGAGAGGCATTTAACTTAACTCTGTAGAACATCTCAATTTCCACTGATAAACATCTGATAACTGAAGGGCTCCGTTAAATTGCAGCAGTCATGTTTCTAATTATGCTGAGGGCTACTCACTGGCACATGATTCAAACAGCACCTCCAGCTCCACGGATCCATTGAGAAAGGTGTAAAGCGCTCTGCTCTCTGACTCCTCAGACAGCTTCCATTCGATCACCCTGAGAATGCAAGCAAGTGTGGGACAGTTTCTGCTTCTGATTTAAGTATGATACTAACACCAATCAAACTGCTAATAGCTACAACTCCAGGCCAAACTTGGAGCCAGGAAGCATTTTTACAGACTGAACCTCTAGGGAATAAATATTCATTCAGATTATTTATCATCACTGAATCTGAATAAACTAATTGCCACACCTGTCTAGGACTGTAATATTCTTTTCAAACTCCTTGGTTTCTTCCTGAATTCTGCAGATTTTGTCCTCAATGCTGTTCTTCTCCATTACAAGAAAACTTATACCCCTTGGAAGGAAGACAAAACACTTGCAATTGAAATGGTACAGAGTGTAATGCCTGCTAGCATATTAAAATATACAAGCTTACTATAAACATTAGCTCACAGGGTGCTAAGCAGTCTACTAAAGCTTGAAACTGACCTTTCATTTTCAGTGACAGCCACATTGAGACTTTCCAGTTCTGTACAAAGACAATTACGAGTTAATCTGAAATAGCATTTAGTTCACAGAGTCTGCGGCAGTGGGCAAAAACTATAATATTAAAATAAGTTAAAGGCCCAGAATGTTGTGCACTGTTTAACAGCCATTCACTCCACCTTGTTGCTTAACCTCCAATGTGTGCATCAACTCGGAATTCGCTCCAACTTCTTCCAACCCTTCCTCGTCCATTAAGTCCAATTCTACAAAAAAAAAAGGCTCTTCACTGATGACAACTGCTATTCAGGAAATCCAATCAAATGTAGAACCAGCTAATCATAACCAACTGCTCATTATGAGGAAGGACAGAGTAGCAACCAGTTTGGGCAAAAATCCCAGTTGTGTTAACCAAAGTCCCTCCTACCAGCTTGTAAGTCCTGCAGACAATCATCAAGGTTTTTCAGGAACTCATCGGCCTCGTTAATCTTCTCTGTCAAGTTTTGCTGCGCAAGCTAAGAAGAGAGGGTGTAGCTGGTGTCAAAATGTAATTCAAGGTCTAAGCCAAGCTGAGAAAGAGCTGCATGGGGTGCAGCTGAAAGGAGGTGCCTGTCTTGAATCACACATTGAGTAAACTTACCTGAGTGGTTTGCACCAGGCTGCTGTATAGCCCAATCTTCATCTCATGTGAGAACCCTTTGCTCTTTTTTCGGAAGTATACCTTCCTCTCTCTGAGCTTCGACCTCAATCTCTGTAACTAAGGTATAAGACAGGTGTTGGTTAACTGTGCAATGTACAGTAATGGTAGGTCTGCTGCAATGAGGGAAAAAAAAAAACTGGTAATAAAAATACCTGCTCATCAGAATAGGTTTTCACCACTTCCCAAAAGGACTGATTAATCATTTTAAGAGGTTTGTTTTGATCCCACATTCGTGTTTTCAGTCTGAAAGAATCAAAGGGGAAAAATAATAAGCCTCTTTTGCATTGTGAAATTGTCACAAGTACAGCAGTTCTCTGATCTGCACTGGTTTTCGGTCTATGAAAAGAACAGGGAAACTTTTTGGAGACCAGTTTTCCATTATGCAAAGATAGTTATATCGACTTACTTCTCAACAATCTTGGAGAGTTCCTGATTGTCGTCTTCGTAAACCTGCTGCTTGGGACGGTTGACGTATTTCTCCATAAGCAGGTCCTGTGGCTCATGAGCTAATGCAAACTGGAGGGAATTTTGCAGATCATAAATCAGTCAAGGCAGTAGACATGCAGTGGCTAATGGCAGGTTAGCTGTAGTAATCTTTATTATAATAAAAATAAAAACAACAGCATACATGACCTTATCAATCATCATTCTACAAAGCATACAGTACCATTCAAAAGACTGGACACGCAAGGCACTTACAAAGGAGAGTGATACTGTCGCATCACATGACCTGGCCACCTGATCTAAACACAGTAAAACTGGTTTTGGTGGAGTTTGACCAAAGTGTGAAGGATAAGCGGTCTATGAGTGCTCAGCATATATGTGGGACCTCTTTCAGCTGGAAAAGCATCCCAGGATATCACCACATTGAATTTGAGACAGCAGGGACAGTCAGCGCCTGGAGCAATTGGGGTTAATTGCCTTGCTCAAGGGTCCAATAGAAGGATCACTCTGTCAACTCAGGGATTTGAACCAGCAACTGTTTGAGTCCCTACCCACAGAGCTGTCCCCTCCCCAACAAATTTTTTTTTTTGACTCTTTTGGTCAGTGTATAATTCCATGTTATTTTAGTTTTGATGTCTTTTTAATTATTCTAAAATGTACAGAATAGTACAAATAAAGCTCTCTATGGGTAGGGGTGTCCAAATATTTTACTGGTACTATACATGCCTAAATACGAGTAAAAACACCTGAAAACTAAAACTACATATACACTGTTATAATGCATGATGAAGAAATAAGAGCCTATGGCTTTTGCAACACTGAGTTTATGAGAGTTGGTCATTACATTATCTGGAAGAACACTCTGCCGTGGTTTGTGAATGACAAAGTCAATGCCGAAAAAATTCAGGAACTCCTTCACCGTAATGCTGCCATCATCCAGTTTCTGAAACACCAAAACGCATCTGAATGAACAGCAACATCCAATGTATGATGGTAAACATCAGATATGCAAGAAAAAAGGTCACTCATATACCTTTTGAAGGTCAATCTCATACCCTGTAGCTTCATCAAAGTCAGTTTCAAACTGACTACATCTCTGAGCTGGAAAGGCAATGAAATATTTAGCATACAGAGTAAAAAACAATAATTTAAAAATTTTATAAAAATACCAAGAATGAGACCAACTAAGATACAAAGCATTTTCTGGAACACTTACCACTAGTGTCAAAAGTACCTTCTGCCCTTAAGTAGGTGGAGTTATTACTAGAGTTGGTCGTGTCCAAAGTCTTGACCGTTGTACTTGATGGATTCTCCTCAGCAGCATCTGCCACATTTCTATTCAACTGAGATGTAAACTTGGAGGATCCCTGAAAAAGTTTAGGACTTTAAATAATTTGGAATCACTTTAGAACCCATTCACTGATGAAAAAACAGGTTGGATAGCTCACCTCTGAATCTAGGTTTTTCTTGGTCTTCCTTTCCTCTGTACGTTCTTCATGGCCATCCATTGGTGAAGACCTTTTCAGGCCTTGTGCGACATTTTGGATTGGTGCCTCCACTAATGGCTCATCTACAGCATCCTGGCCTAACTCTCCTTTCGAAGCGTCTTCCTGGATGCGGCTGCTTGCATGCCCCCTACCTTCAATGGTTTCTGACAGATCTTCCTCACTGCTGATCTCAGGAAGCATCTCATCATCTATATTTTCAACTGGGCCGCTACTTGAATGATGGAAAGCACCATGCGACACTCTCTTCGTTAAGAGGCTCTCCAAATGACCGCCTTTGGTTATTTCAGGAAAGTTTTTGCTCAGTGATTTGTTCTTTTGAGGGAGCTTGGGCAGAAAGCCACCAAAAGACATCCTCCCTATTTTTGGTTTACTTTTCAAGAAAGGGATAGGAGCTGTCATGTTAGTTTGCGTCGTGCAAACAAAACCATCTTTCCATTGGTCGTTCTCATCTTCCTTAGAGATATTTAGTGGACTATGCAGTGCTGGTTGGTAGTTTTTGCAGTCTTCATTAGAAGGACAATTCCTAGACTCAGAGACTGAATCTTTAACTTCTGATGAAAGCTGGGGGACAGGAGCTGTGAGACATCCATTTGCTGTGTCTACTGGTTCAATGATAATATCCCTCATAGTATTAAGCTTTGACTGAAGATCTGTCAGACTCATTCTTCTGGAAATTTTCTTAGAGGCTCTGACAGATTTCTTTTCATTTTGGTTTAATAATGGATGAACTGTGAAAACAGAGTCCCTTTTGTGGACCAAATCATCACTTTCTTTGCATGTTGTATCCGTACAATCCATGACAAAAACATTGTTTTTGTTGCAGTTATCCTTCAGCTCAGAATGCATTACTGTATGTTCCGGGAAGCTGCTCTGATCCATTGATGCTAAATTCCTTTCGTTTTCTTTCAACGTGTTTCCTTTTGCTACGGTTACTGCTATTTTTCCCACATTCAGGTGAATATCAGAATTAGAAACTGTTGTTTGAATACCTTGTTTAGCAACCTCATTATTACAGGGCCCAGAATATTCCGTTTGGCTGCTTGTCATTCCAGTATTGGGCAGATCAAAACATGGAACAGTTGCAGTTTCTTTGATGTAGGCATTTTCATCAATTTCCACAGTAAAAGCTGTTGTCATCTCCATACCATTATAATTTTCTTCTGCAAACACAGTGATATCCTGAGGAGGAGCGCCTTTGCTTGTGTCTGATGCAGCACCAAGTGCTTCATCACTTTTCATTCTCATATCAGAGACAAAGGCTGGAGAGGTCAATGAAAGAATTTCATCATTAGAAGTTGACTGATTTACCATTCTTGTGCCATCAGACTCATCTGATGAAATCTTTGCTGTTTCTCTACATGCCTTTGTGAGATTGCAATGGCTGCTTTCCTTAATAGGCATGCCAAGGGCTGTAGTCATCTCTCCATCACTTCTGATGTCCACCTCTGAAGACAACGTTTTGTTCACAGGCATATATGACAAACTTTTCCTTCCAGTCAAACATAAGGAGTTGGCCATCCCAAAACCAGGAGTTTTATAGTCAACAACAGTTTGGACCCTAGTAACATCCACATCATCTGAGTTTGAGGGTTCAGTTGTGAATAGACTGTGACTAACAGATCCTGTCTGATCACTTAGTAATTCCATATGGTGAGATGGACCAGAATGAGCAGTAGATGTTTTACCTGGGAACCTGAATGATGCTTTACCAGCATTTGTGAGAACATGCCTGCTCTCCTCAAAAGGCACAGTGTGAGCTGTAGTCATCTCCATATCAAAATCATCCTCTGAAAACATCACTGTTTTGTCAGTAGGTCTGCATGTAATACTTTTTCTTCTGATTGGAGATGAGGGATAAGCCATTCCAACAGCACAGGATTTGGAATCAAAAGTTTGGCTCTTAGTAATTTTCATGTCATCTGCGTCAAAACTGCCCGAAGCTGCTGAGCCAGTGCGATTACCAGGTACTTTCTGACTATTTGTTGGTTGTAGATTGTTAGCCTGTTCATAGAGATGAGCAGATTTTGCCAAAGGAATTTCTTCACACATATTATTTGTAATAACAGGAGAATGGTTTTCCTCAATAGGCGCAGCTATGGCTGTTGTCATTTCCATACCGACGTCCTCATCTGAAAACATAATTGTTCCATTAGCAGGCATACATGAGAAACTTTTCCTTCTGGTGGCATGAAAGGTATTAGCCATTCCAACACTGCAGGTTTTAGAGTCAATAGCGACAGTTTGGCTCCTAGTAATTTCCATGTCAGAATCGAAGTGCTCAGCCGCTAAAACATTTTGACTAACAGAACCCATTTGGTTTCTGGTCATTTCCATACCATCAACTTGTCCAGATTCACCAATGCAATTTGTACTGGGGAAGCTGATTGCTGCTTTACCTTCACTTGTGGGAACAAGTGTATGTTCCTCAACAGGCACGATTAGGGCTGTAGTCATCTCCATACCACAGTCGTCTTCAATTTTGTTGACAGGCACATGTGACCAGCTTTGCCTTCCTGCAGCATGTGAAGGATTAGTCATTCGAACACCATCAATAATAGTTTGGCTCCCAGTAATTTCCATATCATCGGAGCCAAAATACTGTATGGCTGTTGGTCCTCCACACTTACCAGGCCCATTCTGATTACTTGATGGTCCTGTCATATTAGTCTGCTCATAATGAACAACAGATTTTGTAGGAGGAATTTGTCTGTTCATTTCTTTATTTGTAATTACAGGAGGATGGTTTTCCTCAATAGGCATAGTAAGTGCTGTAGTCATTTCCATGCCAAAGTCATCATCTGAAAATATGACCGTTTTATTTGTGGGCATATATGACAAACTTCTCCTTCCAGTGGCAAGGGAAGGATTAGCATGTCCAACACCACAGGTTTTGGAGTGAGTAAAAACAGTTTGGCTCCTAGTAATTTCCATGTCATCAGAGTCTGAGGGCTCAGCTGCCAAAACATTGGGATTAATGGCATCTGTTAGGTGACTTGTCATTCCTATATCAGCAAACACATAAGAACCTGGTTTTACTTTAGGTGATTTGAAAACTTTTTTCTGCTCACTCATTGCTGGGTGATTTATTTCTTCAATAGGAGTTGTCAGAGCTGCAGTCATATCCATACCATAGTCATCCCCTGAGAAGATAATGGTCTTATCTGAAGCAGTTGTGCTGCATATACTCTTCCTTGAAGAGGCAAGTGAAGGATTAGCTTGTCCAACACCACAGGTTTTGGAGTGAGTAAAAACAGTTTGGCTCCTAGTAATTTCCATGTCATCAGAGTCTGAGGGCTCAGCTGCCAACACATTGGGACTAATGGTATCTGTTTGGTAACTTGTCATTCCTATATCACCAAACACACAAGAACCTGGTTTTACTTTAGGTTTACCACTTATAGCTGGATGATTTATTTCTTCAATAGGAGTTGTCAGAGCTGCAGTCATTTCCATACCATAGTCATCTTCTGAGAAGATAATGGTCTTATCTTTAGCAGTTGTGCTGCATATACTCCTCCTTGAAGAGGAAAGTGGCGGATTTAACATTCCATGCATTTTCTGAGAATCAATGAGAACAGTGTGGTTCCTTGTCATTTCCATATCATCTGAACCCATGAATTCATTTGTCACCTTCAAATTCTCTTGATTTGTAGATTGTTCCTGAACCCACAGGTCCTTTCCATCCATCAAAACTGCCTGATTTTTTGTCAAATCCATGTCATCTCCATCTGCTTCTGTCACAATTCGCTCATTAAGCTGAAGGCTGTGCTTTGGGGTTGGAAATGTGGTTGTTGACATCACATCATTTTTGCTTGCCATTTTTGTTATACATGGTGCTTGGTTTACTTTATCAGCTCCTAATCTATATGAACTAAGGCTAGACAAGAAAGCTTTCGTGTTGACTTTTGGACACACAGCTGAATCACTACACTGAATGAATGAAGTGCCCATTGTTGTGGTTTTTGGACCTTGACTAGAAGTCCCTGGACAGCTATTTCCAGCGATCTCTGTAAGACTTGCAAGAAAGTCATCCATATCAGATTCCGTTATTTGAGCTCCCACTGAAGTATCTGGGCCTTTAAAGGAGTTACCAGGTTTACACAAATTCTCATAGTTTGAATTCTTTTCACGCTTCTCTTCAGAGGCAAAGGCAATGATTTCACTGCTTGGGACTGTCTTGTTAAAGTCAACTGCATCATTGTCAATAACAGTGTGGCAGTGGGTCATCTCCATGCATGCGGTGTCCTCTCCAGAAAACAAGATTGTCTTATCGCTGTTGCCATCCTGGTAATCCATGTAAAACATGTTTTCCTGCATGAAACAAAAATATATGATCACTGACAATCCCTGAGCCATTGTTTATAGAAATCAGACAGTACGGGTCTGGGTAACATCATTGCTGATTTCTATTGAGACAATTGGATAATAGGCTCCCAGTGATCTGAGCAGGATAAATGGTTAGAAGATGGATGGATAGATGGATGCAAGGAAATTGGATACTATTAGAGGAAATTCACTTATCAGAAAACAATCCAGAATTTACTACAATTCATTAAAATGTTTTTTCCTCACGACTGATTTTGTGCATAGTTAGCCTTAAATGCCGTTTTTCAATATTTTTTTTTTCTCAGCAAGAACTAAAAACAGACATTTTACTTTGTACTGGTAGCTTCTAGATCTTAGACAATACATGTACCTTGTTATGTTGGTGTGAAACATGAAGGGGGGCATTCAGCAATGTCTCCATCCCTAAAGCACAGATACATCTTCAGGTAACTATTTTATGTTAAAAATAAGTCAAGTATATTAAAATGAGCTTTAAAGTAACTGTCCTTACCGACAATTTGCTGTACTGTGTTGTTAGTACCATAAATCCTGTGTGTACATGGGAAAAATAAAGTTTATTCGATTTTATTGAAAAATATCACTACAACAGAAAAAAAAAAATCACGGTCACACTTCAGAGCTCATTTTAAACAAGGATGACCTTGTAAATTAATAAACACCGAAAACATACCTCTCGTTCTGTTGTTCTGTTCCTATTAACACAAAACAACAGAATTACAACAGAAATGTAGTGGGTGCTGCTTCTGAACAATAACTTCTCATAATTGCAGACTGTGTATTACAGACAATCAGCATTGTCAGTGGAACAAAATGAACTTAATATCATTTTTGGATATAAATACTACTAGTGAGATTAAAAGATTTAATCATCACTAAGCCTCCTAGGTTTTGAAAGGGTAGCCAAGTTTGCCTCTCCACTGCCTAATCCACACTGAAAATATTCTGAACACTGACCTGTGATGTCAAGGTCCTCACAGAGACCCATCCCTGGAGAACTGTTTTTTGTGTCACTAAAAATGTAAACAACAAAAGACATTAGATATTGTGTCACATTATGTTGCTGCATGCAACTCTGACAGTAAACACCAGCAATTCAGTGTCACATGGTGCCCTGTTCATACCTGATGTACTTTATATCGTTTGTTGTTGCAAAACTGACTCTTCTGGACTTCCTTTTCTTTTCAACTGGTTCAGTTGGTTCATCCTTCAAGGAAAAAAAACAAAATGGAACAGGACTGATGCAGAACTTAGATGCACGATTCTGATCCTCATTAATAGAATATGCCACCCAGAATACCTGACAGTCCTCATTGTCTACGTCAACAGATTTCAGTGGAGTGCGAGGTGCTTTCAAAATCTTAAATACAAATAAATAAACATAAAACACCATACATACAAGCAAACAAATACATAAACAAACAAACTGCACAGGTTAATGAGAGCCATGCGACCAGTTGTCATTTGGCAGCGTTATTTCAGGTTTCCAGAACCAAAGGTATAAACAAATGCAAGAAGCGTAAAATACCACGACTCTCCGTTATAAAGATTATATATTAAATGTTTAACAAAAACACACTAACCGATGAAATCCTCCTTGAACCAGGTTTGCTTGGGTTATTTCTGCATAAGGAAAATGTAAATTAAAGTAATGCATAGACATATATTCAGTATATAACATTCCACTCCATAGTAATGTATGGTTAAATCTTCCTGAATATTACCTAAACGTTTAAGCATACTTCAAATATTAAAAGTACTGTTCGTTAAAAGCAGCTCATTTTTTTCCGTGAAGCTATAATACATAAATATATTTTTAAACAATGCTTCGGTGTCATATTAAGTGTATATAGTGAATTATGTAATACAGGCAATTCTCCACATATTGTTACCTAATGCACCTACAATTCTTAAAACGAAAATACGCCGTAGTTAACTACATTACACGTACAATAGTAAGAATGCGAATCAGTGAAACAGTTATACATTGACAAGTATGGCTACTACTAATTCACACAGATTCGGTCTTGACAGCTGCAATATAATCCCCGCACCTCCGCCAAAACTCACCGGTTCCTCGCCGCCTCCGCAGTGTCCATGTTCGTGATTACTGTTTAGCCGACTGCATATTTAATATAAAGCCACACGAAGAACATGTAACCGAACACTATATATCCTGCTTACATGAACACTTAATGAATAGCTTATACATCAGATTTGGCTATTGTGAACTAAACTAAGGCTAACCACAAGCTAGCCGATACATATTAATACATACATGCCACATACAGATTAAGTCTTGAACCTAACAAATAGCTCGATTGCTATTTGCACATATGTGATAATAAAAATTTCTGTACGACTGATGTATAATTGCTTTAATATCAATATTTTAAACTAGGTGCTTTATATTTGAAGGCTTGCTAAGCCAGCTAACACTTAGCTACTATAAAAACAACATAACAAAATAAATCATACTGCGAAGTAGTATAACTATTACAAATGATAGCACGTGCGCGTATAAGACATACCGTAATATTAACTTATGTAATCCTCCAGTTTAAACGTTTTGTGTACTTTTTTGATTATTTCCAGCTCGGCATTCATTCCATTTCATTTTTGTTTTTGAATTTAACCGCTTTCTCTCCGAGCATGCGCCGTAGTCCGGCCGATGTCAGAAGTCGGAGGGACGGTTGAGGCGTAACGGAAATGATGTATTAGAATTTCAAATTGTGCCCCGGCCTCCGCTTGGGAAACGTGATCGTGATCAGAGCTTGTGAGCGGATGTCCGCATGTCGCTTAAACTTTATCATTTGTAAATATTTCGCATAATATCTTGGACTTCAGGAAATAATGTTTCCCCCTCACATTTGAGCAAATTAGTATGTGAGATGCCTGAGCATCATCCAGAAACATAATTACACGTGCTTAGACTAGTGTTATTAGTATTAATGTCCAGAGTTGCCGTGTGTCTATTTTAGCAGGGGGAACCCTATATTTTAGGCTTAATATAATAGTGTTCTTCCTTCATATCTATGCACTAACGTATTATTGATGGCTGAAAACGTGATTCAGCTACGCATTTCCATGCAAACAGATTTGTCTCACCAATTTGATGTCCTGTAATTTCTGTATCTGTGTGTTAGCGTAACAAACCATGCATCAAGATGTTTTAATAGAAGTGGATAATGTTTGAATTATTTATGTTTAAACATTTCTTCCAGTGCCAACAAAAGAATTAAACATGACAATACCAAAGCATTTGTAATTGTGACATAAATGCAGGGGTGCCAATATTTTTGGCCATGACTGTATTTACAATCACAAAATGCTTTGGACAGTACACTTTGTATGGCAAAGTGTACTATCTGAGCAAGTTTCATTTACGTAGCACGAACAGAGCCAGAATTCAAATGGGGGTGCAATTCACGGCAGGTACATGCAGGTGCAGAGTTCGGCACAGTTTTTTTTTTCAGCTGCATTGTCTGACAACACAGAGAAACCTTCGCGGTGCACTAGTTATTCTGGTCATTTTAGTGTTAATTTAAATTTGCACTAGCGGTAGCCTGAAACACGCAGTGTTTTCACTTACTTGTCATTGTATTATTAAATATGTTGATGCCATTTGCAATATTCATACGGTTTTTAAGACGAGGAAGATTAATGAGATGTGTTTTCAGCGTTACAAAACAACAGGCAAATAATAAAAGTTTTTGTTCGTGGGGAGTAGCCTAATGTGGAGACGTTTAACGGTTTTCGTTTCTCGAATATAACTGCATTGCGGTGGTTTTAAGAACGTTACGTTTCCCAGACGAAATGCTCCGGGACAGTCAGCACATTGCAAAGGTAAATAATTAGATAGGAGCCCCTTTGTTTCACGTTTATTGAATTTTTAAATGTACAAAATTCAACATACATCACTATCTGACACATGTCGGTAGTAGAAACCTTTTATTAGAAAAAATAAAAGTTTTTTATTTACAAAGACCAAGATCATGAAATACAAATAACAAACTCGTCTGCGCAAACCAGTCTCATGTCATTTTTTTAAATGAGAAATCAGAACAGGTATATAACGTAATATTACAATGAAATACGTAATACATTGGTTTAATCCATCGAATTAATATTTAATCTATTCTATAAAAGATAATTATTCATACATCACAAATTATACAATGCACATCTAGACATACTCATGCATATTTCTGTAATCTGCACGCAGGGCACAGATGGACTGGAGAGCTCATTGACTCTTGCTGACTGTAGAGTCAGATATGTTAGTGCTCTTGATATTTGAAACTGTGCTTCTTAATGTTGACTTCCTGCTTTCTCCAGCGTTATTGTTTGTCATGCAATAGTATAAAAACAGGAAGAAGCCTGGTGAATAGAAAGGAGATCATTAGCCACCCTAAAAAAAACCCTAATATAATCATACCTTTTTACTCAAAGAGTCGTACGAATCTTGCACTCTTAGGCTAATTTAAAGCCATTTAAGCAAGCACTAATTTAATCTTTCTTTGCAATAAGGACCTGCATCTTTAGTCATGCCCACGACAATGGATCCTCAAGTTGTCAAATTCCTTTAACACGGTATGTAGATTTGCTAAACAGACAGACCAAGCTTAGCTTCCGTGACACAAACCTTGAAAAGAGTTGAGAATGGTGAAAATGTAGTAAGATGGAATCAGCAGAGCCCCACTGCTGAAGAAGGCAAAACCCCAGGTGATCCCCAACAGGCCACACAAGGCTGCTACGGTGAATATGTCCTTTGAGACCGAGCGTCGCTTGGGTTGTCCTACGTTTGCCTTTCTCAGGTATACAATCTTCTGCACTACCATTACGAAGACAACCGAAGTGAAGATGAATACGGCCACGTAGTAGCCGATATTCACAATGTAACTAACAGAACTGTCAGTAATCCAGCACCTGTCACAAAGAAAAGAGGATTATGTCAACCTATGTGTTAGCGCACGCTAACTTGTCCGTTTAGGTTTAGCAGAAGCTGCATGTTTTCTCAGCCATGATTTTTAATTGTTATTACATATGTAAGTTTAAGAGAAAAAAGAATATGAGCTTACATGTACACTGGCTTGTCATCAGTGGTGTTTATGGTGAGATTACCATATTTTCCTAGTCCACCAATCACAGAGGGAACCAGAAGAGGAAACGCTAAGGGGAAATAAAAGGCCCAGTAAGAACTAGTGGCTGAAAACCATATCCCATAACCCTTTTAGTCTCTCAAACTCTGCTTTTATATGATTTTAAATGTAAAACCCCATATTTCAAACCATACCTTGATGTCAGGAGTTGTGCAATATAAGTACTTTATAATTATAAAAGTTTGTGAACTTACCCCAGCCTACAACAAGGGTCTTCACCATGTAGTAACGGATATTGGTGTTGAACACTTTTATCAACTGTAAGTACAGGTGAAACCCCTGAATGGCAAACCAGGTAAATGTGGACAGCAAGAAGTAATGGATGGCTCCAGCAATGAATTTGCATAGGGGATCATTATTGAGGCTGGTGATCGAGTCATTCAAGAGGAAGGTGAGGTTCAGCATGAACATAGAAACGAAGAGGTTCATGAGGATCTTGGTGGTTTTGTTGGACTTTGATCTCCTGATGGAAGATTTGATTTGGTTATGATGTGGCGTTGAAGGTTCATTTAGCCTAAAACAGTTGTCAAGAAGCCAGTAAGGATGAACATGCAAAGTACCTCAGAGTGACATGCATAAACACTGCGATGCCCAAGAAGAATGTGGACACCCCGCAGCCAATGTATGTGATATAGGTCAATTTTTTCACATCGGAGTTACTTATACCCACAGGGTCGCTCTAGGAGATTCCAGAAAACATCTGTTTAGGACCACGGCCAACAGGCAATTAAAATATAATGATAACATGCATAAAAGATCATAACAGCTTAACTTTTTTTTCTTTGTTTTTTTTTTTACGCATTATACATGTACAGAAGCACTGGCAAGATGCAGCTAGAATATAGAATATACTCCTATACTGTGGCAGCAGGTAATGCAGTGGTTAACTTGCCAAATCTGAGGCACTAGGGCAGGGGTACTCAATTATTTTTCTCTGAGGGCTGCATGGTCCGGATTACATTGTGTTTCATTTGAGTACCTCTGCTTTAGGGTGTAGGATTAAGTCCCTTGGCAGGCTTAAACTGTGCTTCACTAACCCAGCTGTAAAAACAGGTTAATATTTTAACGAAAGATATCAGAGATATATAAAATGCCACAACACATTACGGGTTACATATGTGTTAGTGGTACAACAGTAGTTTCTTAGTATTAAAATGTACTCACCATTAGTACAGCAAAAAATGTCAAGTGCGTGCATCTGCATGTTAATGTGTTGTTTATTTCTACAGTGTCACAGCCGTCCGTTTCCCAACTTGGTTGTCCTGTTATACAAAGCACACTAATCTATGGTGTATGAATCATAGGCAGGAACATGTCGATTTTACGCTTATTATTACAACTGGCAAAACTATGGTAGCATTACAAAAGGATCCTTTTTTTCTAGTTGCTCTGTTAAATAAAACCAGCATCTATATTTATTTAGCAGTTTTTTTTTATTATTATTCAAAGTCATGTACTATTGCGAAAGTAAGGTCAGCCAGTCTCTGGAGCAATTGTTGTTAAGGGCCTTGCTCAAGGGCCCAATGGTAAAATCACTTTGCCAAGCCCAGCATTTGAACCAGTATCCAATTGGCTGATTCATAATTCACCTTTCTGCATGCAGCCTGGATTTTTATGTCTGGTGGACATTATAAGCATCCCTGCGCTGACTGTGCGTGACAAGGAAATGGACTAGGTGTTTCCAGTAGGTGGCAGCACTGAGTTTCACTGTGGTCAACAAAGAAAGAGTAGAAGAATAGTTGTTGTTGTGGAAGTTACAATTAGGGGTAGCAGCTATATGAGGAAGTGTGGAGGTACCCACATTAATTAATAGTGATTAATCCTAATTTAATGCATTTAGTTACAGTGATTAATTTTAAAAACTGATCAATTTTAATTCTGATTATTTTCACGTGTATTAATATTTGAATTTTAAGTGTTCAGAAATTCACATCTAAAACAGTTATAACAGTTTGTAAGTACAATTACAAATTACAGTTTGTAGTCAGTGTGTGAGATTTTTTAATGTTTTTCAGACTGCTGTCATTTTTCTATTTCATCTGCATAAATATTTGAGTAACCAAAGTTTATGATTATTAGTACGTATGCTGCCGTAGTTACTTAATGGTAGCGCGCTGGACTGCGTTCACCTAAAAATCCCTTGTGTTGCCCATTTTGTGGGTGTGTTGCCCATTTTGTGGGTGTGTTGTAGCGTTTCTTGTTTATGAATGCACATGGCACAGCATGTTTAGGGCTCTTATGAAACCAGTCAGAATCACAATTGTGTAGTTGGTGACGATGTGAAAATCAAGGTAGAAACTAATATTAAATGCAGTGATAGAATGTGTGACTTTGAAAGTCAAGTCTAGTGTTTTTCATAAATTGGAAAGCAGTTCTCAAGTCAAAAAAACTGAGATTTGAGTCAGAATTGAGTTATATGACTTGAGTCACCCACCCACTGAATTTTGTCATAAGGATTCAAAATACCACAGAATGCTATATTACCATAATACAGCCCAAGCATAGTGGCAATTTAAAATTGTTCATAAAAGTTCACTCATTTTACTACACTGCTGGTATTTGTTTGCCCTGTCCTGGTCTGGTGGAATATCCTTGCTTTACACATCTACCAACTGCAACCATCTACATCCACCGACAAATACAGTCTGTACACAAGCACACATGGAAAAGTGATGTATCCATATGAAGTATGAACCAGCCTTAACCTGCTGAGCCACACACTTCCCCATCTCGGCTATGCATTTCTTGGCCGATTTCTAAAGCTTGACATCATTGTTTGAGCTGAGTTCAGTTCTACCCACTTTTTAAGATGCAGGTATGATATGGTGAACAAGCAAACTGGCTCATTTGTTCATTACAAAGGATATGGGGAATACCTGTTCCATTCCACGAACAGCAAGTGAGATTTTTGTTCTGTGTAGAATAAGTTCATTTTAATGTCAGTTTCATAGTGGAAACATTTTTATATACAGTACTTCGCAAAAGATATTTATCTGAAAAATAAGTATATTTGCTCAGAAAAACAAGTTTCGCATTGAAACATATGCAAGTTAACAGTAGCACTTAAAAACTAATAAGAATTTCTTCTCTTCTCCAAAAAGTCACTGATATCTTGTTGGATGACTAGAAAAATACCACTTTGGTTCCCAAACCTCTCCCAAGGGGCACCCCAGCCATTCCATGTATACAATAGATTTCACCACCAGCTAACTCATTTAATATTGATTAGCCAAACAAGATGTGCTATTGGCTGGGTCAAAAAAATACATGGGTGGTTGTTGCAAATACTTGGGCCTTAAGGAGAGATTATGACATGGCTAAACTAATCTACTTTGACAGAATAACATCAGTATAAAGACCATTCATATATCATTTGCGCACTACTGTAGACGTAATGGGATGAAGTTTACAAAAATTAACAACAGGCCTTCCTTTTACTTACCTTGGGAATGTTTTTGTATGTAATGTTTATCGTACGTGAAAGGTTAGATATGGAGGTTCCCATTTCAATGGCAAAAATCTTAAAATTTATAATGTTCCTTTTATCTTTATCCTACAAGCAGAAAAAAAACAGGGAAACAATACATTGACGTGTTATAAATAGTTATGCCAAGGTTTCTATTATACTAAATCCATTCCATGCCCATTCCATCGTATAACATTCATTATAAACACAGACATGCCTGCAGTGGGTGATTTGTTGCTGCTTTGGGAATTTGTTGGTTTCCATAGTACATTGTTAAAATATTTAACACCCCCCCCCCTCATTTACCTCTATCATGGGTGGGGAACAAACAATCAATATAAAAGATTTGTTGTTCTTTTTCGCAGCGATATCAATTGCTTCACCTGGGATCATAAATGAATTCACGAAGTCTGTGCCATCCTGTAATTTCTATAAAAGTAGAACAGAAAAATATCTTTATTTCTGAAATGCTGAAATGCATTTTTGTAGTTCATTTTTTGCAAATATTTAAAAATCAATATCTACTAAATCACTAACATTCCCAAGAAATTGCTGAGTGTGAAGCTGTTTCATGTTTCATTACAGCTACATCTGACAAATTTACAGGTCAGCTTAGCAGTTACCGCTTGTTAAGATTGCCACCTAACGGCTATATAAGAGTTTATCATCTACTTCATCTGTTGAGCAGCCATTGCCTGCCTTATTTTTTTTTCTGTAGACAACCAAGATCACAAAAGTTGCACTGGATAGCAGTGGTTTGTGTACTTACAGCAAGGCTGCTATTGTTGTTCAAGATATATGTCACATCTTCATGTTTTGTTTTGTTGGAAAAAAGCTCAATGATTCCCTTCGCCGCTCCAATGTTGACAGTTGCTAGAGTGTCATCTCCCATTTTATCCACCACTGAACTTGGATTGTTCATTATATTACTGTGAGGTAGAGAATTGTTTTAGGCAAATTGACTTTGCAGCACAATAATCATATCTACCATTTCTTTCAAAGTCTCAGTTCTGCCCATCACTGGTAAAATGTATGTGATTGTTGTGTGTAAAAAGGTGTTCTTACGAAAGATCTTCAGCTTTTACGTATCCATCAGTAGTGTTGATTGGATTTAATGTGATCGTTTTAGTTTGCACTCCAGTGGAAGTGGTGAATGAGTTTGTAGTTGTACCTGCAAAATATTACCATCATTCCCCATCTATTACTCTCATGGGAAATGTTTTTGATTTGATGTGATATATTTACTTGCATGTTCCAGTGTGCTGGTTGTACTTGCACTACTTCCCATTCCAGTGGAAGTGGTGAATGAGTTTGTAGTTGCACCTGCAAAATATTACCGTTATTCCCCATCTATTACTCTCATGGGAAATGTTTTTGATTTGATGTGATATATTTACTTGCATGTTCCAGTGTGCTGGTTGTACTTGCACTACTTCCCATTCCAGTGGAAGTGGTGAATGAGTTTGTAGTTGCACCTGCAAAATATTACCGTTATTCCCCATCTATTGCTCTCATGGGAAATGTTTTTGATGAGCAAGGTTTGAAGACTAGTGAAGGTTTTCCCTTTACTGTGATCTAAGCGATTTTTATTAAATTTAAATCAAATTGCAAGTTTATACTCCAAAAGCACCTCTTAATACTACCAGAACCAGCCTTGACCACTAAATATAGAAACACCCTCCAATATTCAAAGACATCAAGCCATAGGCTTTATTTAAATGCAGCCGAGTGCTGAGTCAATATCAAGTTCTTACTGTTTGTAGGAGTTGGTTTGCGGCAGTCATTAATATGTTTCAGAATGGAGCAGAGGTTATCTATGAATGAAGAGAGGAGTGAGAATGGTTAGATTTCTTGTTAAAAGTAAATGTGTTTATGTCATAAATTAATATCTGTATTGTATGAAATTATGTATGGCATTTGGAACTTTTCCGTAGTCCGTGAGATACAGCTTTGACAGAATCGCCTAACTCAGGCGATTCGAATGTCGCCAGTAGGGGGCATGATCGCATAGCTGACTAATTCACAAGACTGACTAATCGGCACGTGTATCAATGACAGGTCAGCTAATTAAATAATGTAACGAAAACTGAAAAATAATTAAGACCATCTGCATTTCATGTACGTTTCTGCTAATATGTGAAATCAATATATAAAATAGGCACATACCACTTGCATAATTTGATTGCAGTAAGCACGAAGGAAAGAGGTTCCATGTAAAATTAATTCCACTGAATATCTGTACAGGATATATCTTACAGTATTCCAAAGATCCTTTAAAGTAATATCCTACAGAATATAATAATAATGCACATTAGACTGACAGAAAATATATGTAGGGTATATGACAAAAGTAAATCAATGAGAAATTAATCAAAAAGAATGTTAAGGCCTAAATAATTTGAAACCATAAAAACAAGCTAATGTTAAAAAATGGCAAGACAAATGAAATTCAACGTATTTACCTGCTACACAACATGAGTCGTTTGTAAACTTGCTGTAATTTGCGGTCGCAATTACATACGTTTCGACTGAAAAGAAAAGAGCCATCGAATGGCAATATCATTTTATGAAATTTATTTACAAATTTATGAAATATGTTCTTCTCAAAGTTTGCTGTATTTATAATGCGTCTGACAGGTTATATTCTATAAAACAGAAATGGGGTAAAACTTACCGGCGGTATTTTCAGAAATGTTAAAATATCTGATGACTCCTGTGTAAGTCTCATTAACTAGAACAATCAATTTAATTTCTGAACACGAAGCTGTTTACAGAAATAAAAGAATTTTACTGGATTATCAGTTGTAATCAGTAAAGTATTTTCAAAATTTAAAATAATTTGCTTAGTCTATTTGTCCGGGGTGTTGCATATGTGTATATACATTATTCAATGCACAAAATACGCATTAATGTTTTACCTTTTCCCAGATTGTCACTGATGCAGCTGAACATAACGACTAATATTCCAAACCACAGGCCAAATTTCCATGCCATAGCGCCCAGTAACCTAGGTCTGTCTTTGGCCGAAAGGTTTCTTAATTACTGAAGAAGATGAAGATTGCTCCGAACAACTGTAATACTCTGTGAAGGCATTAACAGCATAGTATCACTTTGTTTCAATATGAAAACCTGGCTTAAAAATTAGAAACATGGAACTTTAACCACCATTTTACTGTTGAAATTTCCTACCTGCAGGTCGAGAGCGCCAGTACTTGGTTAGTGGGTTGGTGAACTCGGTTGATAGTACAGCTAGCCAAATATAGTGGCACCTATTTTATTTTGCATTTTCTCGAATCTACATAAATTTACTTTGCAAAGCAGCTATTTACATGTTCAATCCATGGGCGTCGCCGGCATTAAATCTGAGAGGGACGTGTCTGCCTCACATTTCATAATTATTCGTTTGGACCCCCCCACATTTAACATAAAATATTAGTTTTATGCCAGTGTGTGTCCCCCCACATTCAAAATGCTTCTGACGCCCCTGGTTCAGTCTAAGCATTATCTACAACTCGATGTGCAAGGTGTACCGTAGTTTCTCTTGGTTTGAGGTTATTTTGTAGCTACATATTATTTAGTTTTGTTTTATTATGTTTCAATATATTTATATTTCGGTTTGCTGTGCACAAAATAATTCGATTAGTGTTCATGCTATTCAAAAATTTAAAGGTTAAATATTGGGCCGATAATTTGAGGCACATAAATAAAGTTTAATTGATACCTTTAAGCTTTTTTAACACACATAATAGTTGATTGAGGAAGGGAAACACTTGGTGTGGTAATTATTATGGTATTTAGGCATGTAGGCTACTCATTTTACTCATTGAACGACCTTTTTTGTTTATTCTAGGAAATGGCGTATAGTCATTCCTTAGATGAAGTTTATTCGAAACCATGATCATTCTTGTATTTTAAACATCCACATGCATTTTAAATTAAAATCTCCGTGTTGGTGGTCAGCACACATTTGGAATGCACACTGGCTAAAATATAAAATCACACTGTTTGCATCCTTTCCTGCAATTGCTAATCGTAAAAATGTCTTTATTAAATGACTGAGTTTTCAGTAGGGATTCGGTGATATGTGTCTTAAATTAGCCTGTTGTCAAAAGTCTCCTTTGTTTGCCATTTGGGGAGACACCGCTTGCGGATGTATTTGTCATTCTTTATACTTAATTTAATATACTGCTAACGGAGAAGTATCTTTTTCCTCTAACCTAAGTAACTTACTTTACAGTGCAAAAACATTCAAATGACTACAAGACAGAGATAAGATCTTGGCCACAGCCATTAACGTGACAGCCGATGCACATATCAGGAATGACTGTCCTGTTTGTTTTGAAACAAGCCGCACGCATGCATTAAGAAACAAGCCCATTCACTGTCAGGTCAAAAGTACCAATTTTTACCTTTTGACTTGTCAATAGGGCTGAACTCTCAAGGGTCTGCCAACTGTACCCTAGCTGTAGGTAAATGTACATTTTAGTTGTTTTTTTTTCCTTGGGGAATAAAACTGTACCAAGACTGTGCCCCTGACACTGTTACACACATCAGAGCACAGTTTAATTTTCTGTGTAAACTTATTTTTACAACTGATGCAATATTTTACCCACCTGCCACACTAATTCAGAAACTTAATGAAAATGTGTGATCAAACTAAAGAACTGCTTCTACCCCAGATCCACATGTAAACTGAACAACTGTGAAACTATGATGCTGTCCTGTAAGTCTGTAGCAGCATTAGCAACCTCAGTGAAATAGCTCAACCATCTGTGGTACTTCATGTCCATACAGGGTTAATTGTGTTATGTTATGTCTTATGTGATGCCCTCTACCCAACAGTACTCCTACGTCACTTTTCATACCACAGTCACTTTAACACAACAGTGTAAATGTTTACATCCAGCCACACTTTATCTGTATTAATTGCACTGGTGATTGCATTTACTGCACCTTGTACTTAATCTGTCTATGGTATCTCATGTACATACGTTATGCTGTTATTATGTCCTGTCCTCTACACTGTACTCTAGTTACGCCTCAGTTTACATTTTAATCACTTGTTATGTGCGTATGCACTGTTTGGGACTGCTGCAAAATTCCGTTGTACTCTGTACAATGACAATAAAGAAATCTAATTCTAATCTAATCTGCCGAATACACCTTGTACCATCTGTCTTGGGCTGCGTAATGGAGCTGTGTCAAATGCAGATATAAGATGCATGTGAAACACCCTGGTGCTTTTGTAAAGGAGGTATAGATTAATGAGATTGTACTGAACAATTTACACACTCTTAAAGGTGAATTCCAGATTGCAAGTCATTCACTTCTGACCGACCACTGGACTTTAGTGTCTGCCGTGGTAATCCACAGAGACACACAATGGTTAGTGCCTTTTAAATGCCAATTATCTGTTCTGTGTGACTCTAAAACAGGTACAACACCAAAGCATATTTGTAACATTATTTTCATAGTTGGTTTAACATGATGCTGGTGAACCCTCGATCATGACAGTAAACCGCAATATGTTGCATTTGTTTTGATCTTTTTCCACATACTGATCTTTTCTGTAATGTAGTTTCTTATTCTGTCATTTAACAAGGAGCCATCACTGGCCTCGCTGTGGCTTCAAGGACATAATTCCCACTGAAATGTCTGCTAGAATCTGCTTCCAGAAACATTCCTCATTTGCTCTCCTTTCCAGTCATCTGCTGTGGGAACCTGGGAAAAAGAACAGCCCATAGATACATTCAAATCCATTCTTGGATCACCTTCTTTGAATAGTGCATGCAAAATACCCGCACTGATATAAACCTAGATAAAATCGGGATGTTTTCAGAAAATAACACTGCTTGTGTTTATGCTTTAATAGTCTTTCAGAAGTGAACAGTATTATCATTCAACAATATATTAATTTAGAAGTCATCTAGTATTGCTCTTGTGTGCGGAAACACTGGCATCCATCCATCTCCCAGTATAAGGTCTGAGCAATCATACTGGGACGCTGCATTTCACATTGTCGACAGGACGTTAGTCAGGGCACCACCATACAGGACAATTTATATAAATATCAGTTTAATTTCACTCCTGGCAGTGGCAAGAAAGGAGTACAACAGGAAAAATCTTTATAAACACAGGGAAACCCCCCGAAAGCCATGTCTTGTTATTGGTGTGTGGCTCTGCAGGCTAAGCCTCTGTGCCCTTTGAGGGGAAGGTTGCTGGTTCAAACCCAGCTTTTGCAAAATGGTTTTAAGTCTATGGGCCCCTGAGCAAGGCCCTTAACCCCCAGCTCCACGGGTGTGGCTGCCCCTCACTGCCAAGCCTGCTCTCACCTACATGTGTGTCATAAAGGGTAAGCTGGGTTTGGCCAAATTAGTTTTTTCCCACAGTGATCTACAAAAATAATGGAATAATCATAAAAACCTGGACATGCCAGCCCTGGGTGTTCTGGCACCCTAGATGAGGGCCCCCCCAGAACAGCAGAAAAAGTAACTAGCTAACTGGTGTCTGTTTTACAAGAAAAGCGGTGATATTTTAAAACTAATGGAAATATCTGTACTATCATATTCATATTTTCTGCTCCCTGTTTTGCGCCCCTGAATCAAAAGGTGCCCTAAGCGACTGCCTATGTCACCCATAGGGCAGGACAGCCCTGGTTTGCCGTATGACTCCAGCGCAATTTTATAGAGGTCCGATGTATAAAGGCTTCTTTTCTTGCTTGTACAAGTTAGCTAACTGGTTAGAAAAGATCAATTAAGTTTTAAGCTCAAGATCTAGTGACAAGACAGATATTTGCATTTTAATTATGAAGTTGTGCCCCCCTACCCAATTTTAAACTCCCTCCTATGCGGTTGATTGCTGCCGTCGAACGTGCAGGCTTCGCGTGACAGCCGCTGGGTGTTTTGTTGTTGTGGTATCGCTCCCGGTGCGCGTAGTCTCCTAGCGTTTACGCAGATCGGCAGCAAGTTAACCTCCACTGTCCGCCCAGGAAGTAAATGACATCACTCTTAAATGCACTTTTACAAACATGAAACAACCCAGAGGAATGGAAGTGAAAAGCCATTGGCTTCCGTTGGCCTAAACATGGTGATTGTGCTTCAGTGCCCCACATATTCTCTATTTAACTAACTTCCCACTAAAAGGGGAAAGGCAGAAAAAACATTTTCTCTTTCCTGTGCCCTTACCATGTTCCAAAATAAAATCTTACACTTCAGGATTACAAATACTCATTTATGAAGAATTAACATTTTTATATTGACTAAGGAAGTAAACACACAGGGCAGAACAGCTGTTATACACTGACCAGCCGTAACATTAAAATCACTGATGGGTGACATGTGTAACATTGATTATCTCATTACAGTGGCATCTGTCAAGTGAACAGTCAGTTCTTGAAAGCAAGAAAAGCAGGAATAATGGACAAACTTAAGGATCTGAGTGACTGACTAGTGCACTTTTAATTGATGTTATTCCTTGTCTTGCACCTGCAGCCTCCGGTAAAGGCACTGGAACCCATGGGACCCTGAAAAGGATGGGTGGTTATACAAAATGGATGGATGGATGTGTGGATGGATGGATGTGTGGATGGATGGACTTGTAACTGGGCATTTATGGGAAGCTCAGCCTAGCTGCACTTATGCCTAGTCGCCCCACAGCATGTGTGTTTGTAATGTGCGATTTGCCTCACGTGTGTGATGCTTTGGACAAAAGCATCTGCTAAATCAATGCAAATGTGGTATGGAATGCCGTATCGCAACTCCCACGGTAACTCAGAAATGCTTATCGACAACTGTAATTAGTCACAATAAATTATTGCCATACCGCCCACCGCTACTTGTATCCATAGAGGTTTGAAGTCACAGTGGCACTGCACACACTGCAAGCCACACTGCTGGAAATAGTGAAAATGGTAAGTAAGCTGTGAAAGGCAGCTACAGGCCCTTCCACATAATTTAAAACCAACACTGACCTGAAGATTTCCATACACTGCCCCGTATTTTGGTTATGGATAATGAGACTTTTGCTGCTAAATTTGAAAACAAAAGGTAACCTATAGTTATACCTTGCTGAATAAGTTATTTGAATGTATAAGTTTATTAAACTAAGTATCTCTATTAAGAATTATTAAGATGGTTTTCTTACAATTGATAGTTTAGGGATTATTCTTGTATATCTGCTAATATAGCATTCATATTAAAAAAAAAAACTCTTTCTATCTGCAGAACTTTTGGAATTTCCTTCGGAATCAATAAAGTAGCACGACTATTAAACTGGATTGGGAGATGGGGGATCCATCACAGGGATACTGGGGGGTTCGTGGGAGTTTGCCAGAGGT